TTTAGAAAATTTAAAAAAAAATTTAATAGTAAAAATTTTTAAAATAAGAGTTTTAAACTTTTATTACTCTAAAAATTTTTAGTAAAATTAAAAAATTTCTATAATAAAGCTTATAAAATATGTTTTAAATAAAATATAAAAATTTATTAATTTATCTCTATATATAAAAACAAGTATAATTTATAAAAAAACTTAATTTAGAATTTAAAAAAAAAATTAAATTGAATTAAAGTTAGGGTTAAAAATAGTTTATACTAAAATTTTGTATAGATTTTTTTTTATTAAAACTTGAAAAGTGGTTTTATAGACAAAGTTTTGAGTTATTAATATATCTGTGTTTTATATAGAGACCCTACAGCAAAAGGGAGCAGTGGGACAAAAATTTCGATTTTGTAATTTTATAAAAATTATATGTCTATTAATCTAATTTTTCAAAAAATCAATTAAAATAAAATAAAAATTTTTGGCCTACTGCTTCTTTTTGCTATAGGGGTTCCATATATAGGTGTAAAAATACTTTACAAGTTTCAAGCTGTTTGTTTTAAGATAATATTGATTTGGGCTATAAGCTAATTATATTAAATTTTTTTTTTTTATATTTAATAGGTGATTCACCAGTTATCTAGACAAAAAATTTTTTATTATAAGTGCAAATACACAGTATCTCAATCTAAAACTTTTTTTTATACTAAGTAAATTACTTTTCAGCTTCTAACAAAAGTTATAGAGCTCATCAAAATGTATTTAATACTAAAAGGATATTAAAATTGGCCTGGTAGTTCTTGAGAAATCTTTAAAAAACTCTTTTTTATATATAAAATTTCTTTAAAAAAAATCAATTTTTTTAAAAGAAATTTTAATGTAAAAAAGAAGTTTTTTAAAGATTTCTCAAAAACTACTAGGCCAATTTTAATATTCTTCCAGTATTAAATATATTTTGATGAGTTTTACAACTTTTGTTAGAGGCCAAAGAGTAATTTACTTAGTATAAAAAAAGTTTTAGATAGAAATGCTATACATTTGCACTTATTATAAAATTTATATATAAAAAAAATTTTTTATCCAGGTGACTAGTGAATCACCTATTAAAAATCTTTAAAATATATTTTATAAATATTTTGTATTTTTTATAAGATTAAATCTTTCTAGTATTTTATAAATTTTTATATACTTCCGTAAACTTTCATATCAGATATATTTTTACAATATGTAAGAAGATTATAAACTTATATAAAAATTTAGAATTATTATTATTTACACTACTAGTTAAAAATAACCACTCCTATTAAAACTTAGAGTTAGGGTGCAGCTCTAAGATAAATAGGAGTTTTTTATATAAAATGTTTATTTTTATATAATATAATATCTATTAAATATAAGGCCTCAATTTCAGTTTTTGTAAGGTTTTTGGAAGTTCTGAATATTTTTATTTAGAATATCTGATCCCATTTACTTAGTACGTTATTGAGATATTAGTATACTGGTTATCCTTAACCACTGGCACAAGTTAAAAATGTCTAAAATTTAACATAAAACTAAATATTTGTATAGTGTATAAGTAAATTATAAATTTATATAAAATTTTTATATAAATTTATTCTTTTCTTATACACTGTAAGAAAAACATAAACTTATATAAAATTTTATATATAGGGTGTAGGCAATAAAAACAGCTCATTTTTATATAACTTATATTTTGCGATAATTGAGTTTAATCATTTGTTTTGATTTTCAGACTGATCCAGGATTAATTAAATTTCACGATTTTGATTGGTTAAAGGTAACAGGTGACTATCAGATAATTTCATGATATGTTGGCTTTACATAGCCTCATGTAATTTTTTTTTCACATTATCTTAATTTTTTATTATGCAAATTGACTTTCATTTATAATTGAAAAATGTCAATTATATCAAAATTTATATGAATTTAATAAAAACTCATTTTTCAAAAAATTGTAAAAATGAGCTGTTTCTATTGCCTGCACCTCATATAGGCTTGGTGCTGCAAAAAGTAATCAAATTAATAATTTTTTTAAAAGATATTTTTTTATATAAATTAATTTAGAATAAGATTAGAATCATTTTTTATTTAAAATATAAAAGTAGTTGTATTAATAAAATTTTGCAGTATTGTTCTTTAAAGTTTGTATTTTTTTATGATTCATTATAAGATTTATAATATAAAATTGATTTTCTAATAATCTTTTGTTTTGTCAATTTGGTCCCTTTTTGCAGCACCAAGCTCATATATTTATAATTTTCTTATAATATATAAACATTGTAAATTTATATAAAAAGTTTATATAAATATGATTTTCTTACATGCTGTAAAACTTACATAGTTTTATACTAAATTTTATATAAGTTTATAATTTTCTTATATATTGTAAAAACTTATAAAGTTTACACATATATATTTTTGCTAATAATATTTTTTGACTATTAACTAGCTTTAGATATCTCTTTAATCGAAGACTCTAATTTAAGTTAAGTGAAGTAGTACTATATTTGTAGATAAACAAGATATATAGTTGCAGTTTACTAAGTTTATCTAAATTTAAAAATAAACAATACCAATTATTTGGAAAAGATAAATCAAATCTCTACTTTTTATTGAAAATTTTGAAAGACCAACAGGAAGGCAAGAGAAATCAAAGAAGAGCTTATTTGTATCTAAGAAAAGTATATATATTCTTTTAAAAGAAAGACAACAACCAATAATCTAGACAGTGCTATACTTTTATTTTTCAGTAAGTGATAAACTTTAAACTTGTTAGCAAATAGCATATGAAAACTACTTTTAAATAACAAGTGCTATCTCTGCATGAGCAATAAACTCTAAAGCTGTTAGCAAGTAGTATATAAGAACTATTTCTAAATAATAGCTACTAATTTACAGGTTCTAGTCTTATATTTAGCTATACAAAAACAGTTATGTTTTTTAAGAAAAATATATTCAGAATTTTTAATACAAGTGATTATTATAGATCTAATTTAGCATTTTACTAATTATATTTTAACTATTTAAATTTAAATAAGTTTTGACTACTCTAGTAGACTTAGATTGCAAATAAATAATTAATCTAAGTTTTATTTTTGTATACAGTTTATATTTATTTATTTGTATATAAATTGAGTCTTTATTCCATTTTTTTTATATAATTACTTATATAAATTATTTAATAAAGATATAAGCAAGGCCTTATCTTTAAAACCAAAAAATAAAAAATAACACTTTTATTATTATATTTTAGTAATTTATTTATAAAAATTAAAATTTATTTTAGAAAATAAAGATTTTTTTATAAATCAAAATACTATATATAAAATTTAAAAAAAGGTTAAAATAATTTTATAGTAAAAATTTTAATACAAGAATTAATATTTAGAGTTAGAATTTTTGAGGCATAAAATGTTTTTATATAGAATATGTTGTAGTAATTAATTGACTAATTTTTAAAATAATTTATAAAACGTTATAGATGCATTTTAGTAAAAATCTAAAAATATTTACTTAAAGTATCGGATTTTAATCAATTGGCTAGTTTTTGAAATATAGCAAAACTGTTGTGTTAAATAACACTTGGCATTCCAACATTAACATTGATTTAAATACCTAATTTATAAATTTAATTAATATATATATAGTATATATATATTAAATTATATAGTTAATAAAAAATAAATAAAATGCTGTTTTTTTTTGTCACTTGCAACTTGCAGTAGGACGAAATACGTATATAGTAGATGTACTATATAAATAAATAAATAAGTAAACCAAAATATATAATATTTTTAATTAAGTTAGTGATGCCAAGAAAAGTCAGGAAATCTTATTTGCAAGTTTTCTCTCAGCGTCGGTAAAATTATTTCTGTAGATTAGCAATCAATGTTAGATTATATAATACCTTGGTACATGCATGATCTTAACTGGCCAAGAATTTTTGAATTAAAGGTATTAAAAATATATACACATTAGAGAAAATTTTGGCAGTAGGGAACAGGTTAAAAAAGGAAAATCAGGCAGCTCGCAGTTTAAAAAATGGATATTACATGGACTCCCATTAATGATTAAAAGTACTGTATAAAGATTCAAAATATAATAAAATAAGAATAAGTGATTAATTACGGATATTTAACATAGGCGGTACAAGATATCGGATAAGTTAAACCCGAAGTTTAAGGCAAATAAACTTTTTTATGAATGTAAATTTAGTACGTAATAATTAACCAATTAAAAGCATTTAATTAAGCCAAGCAAGTGAATTATTTTCCGTCTTTGTATATCTGATATATTGGCAAGGACACCAAAAGAAAGAATTACATATAAATTTAACATGTCAATATAAATGTAAATCCGATATAATTTGTTTGTTATCGTTTAGAAGTTGGACAAATGATTTGATTTACGTCACAAATTAAGTCACATTTGCCAAGAGCCAAGTCATTCTTGGCATTTAAAAAAGAGAAAAATCTTTTTGGAAATTCTCTTAATCCGGTATTGCTTTGTACATTTTCGATATTAATATTATTATAAAAAAAGGAAATGCCTTTCGGACTTTAATAAAACTACAAACCGAATGTTCAATAAAGATTTTGAAACGTGGTAATATAGCGGTAAAAGATATTTAATAATAATATATATAAGATATACAGTATGCTATATAGGATATATATCGATATATATACAATATATATATATATATACTGTATATATATAAAGCTCAAATAGAAATTTTTGTAGCCTAAAGATCTTCGTTATGTAATACAATACTATTATTAGTCGTATTTTTATTTATATTATTTAAAAGTTGACAAGTAATCACACGATCAAGATTTCTTGGCAATTCTCAGCTCATATATATAAAGAGTGAATTTAAGATTCCAAAGGAGAATAAAAATTTAATTTTTTTCATTGTCAAATTCAAGATCTGAATAAGAAAAATTTCATATACTTGATCGCCTTTTAAGTCGTTTAATACAATTTTAGTGAAAATAATGACATTATCTCCAACGCCTTCATCAGGAAGTTCGGTCTATAATGAAGACCTTCAAGAACTTCAAGAACTTCACGAACTTCACGAAGGACAAGAATTAATATGTCAATGGAAGGGATGTTTGCGCATGTTCCCAGATGCTGAAACATTGTATAAACATCTTTCAGTAGAACATGTTGGAAGAAAATCGACGGGAAATCTCTGCTTGGATTGTCATTGGGATGACTGTGACATTAAAACTACTAAGCGAGATCATATTACAAGTCATATAAGAGTTCATGTTCCTTTGAAACCGCATGTTTGCGAGGTAATTATCGCAAGATCACGTGAAATTTTTTAAATCATCACTGATGCTAACCAACCACGTTAAAAAAAATAGGCATGTAAGAAAGCATTTAAACGTCCGCAGGATCTAAAGAAGCATAAGAAAACACATACCGAACAACATCAACAACAATTGTCTTGTACCAGAAAAAATCGCCGTAACACTTCAAAGAAACTCGTTCGTCCTCCAACACCACCTTATCATCATCCATATCATCATTCACCTACTACTACATATCAACAACCTACATATTCAGCATATTCAAATATGGATGCTTTATTTTTAAAACAAGAACAAACGAATTCTTATTTAAATTCAACTTTAATCGGTGCAGGCTTATACAGTCAAGATTTGTATAGAGATACTAACAAATATCAATCATTAGCGAATGAAAGATTACCATCGCTTTCTCAATCCTTGTATTTTCCTGGGTCAAGTTACATTGATAATCCTAGACAAACTTATTATTAATAATAATAATGATAATATAAATTCTAAAGCTCTATGTCGATCATTAAGTACATATATTACGGTTAAGTTTATAGGCTTTATGTTAAGAAATACTGAGGAAATATAATTTTACCTTGTAAATAGTTCAATCAATTTCATAAAATATAAGCTGATACAGTACTCTTTAATTAATAAATTAATCATTTTAATTTAAAAATTTATATATAGATTTTATTTATTATTATAAAAATAGATTAACAAATCTTCTTTTTCTATTACGACATGTGAAGTTTCAAAAAATATATGTACTTCAATTAAAATTATTTTAACTAAACACGCGTCTTGGCATTTTTACCATTTTTATATTTACGCATATAATGTAATGAATGTTTGTTTATATACTCTGTAGTGTCACAGCTCGTGTTACGGCTCGTGTCACTAAAATATACCAATAAAAATTATTTCGATTCTTTATTAATCTGAACTATATAACTTTGATTAAACGTTAAAACTGATTAACTGATTAACTGGTTTTTTATTCAAATCTTTCCCGTTCTGGTTACTAAAAGAGTATGACAATATTATTAATATTATAAATATTCAACTGAAATTTTATCCTTTTATAATTTTTCTATTTTGCCAAGACTTCATGCGTATATGCTTAATCGTAATGTGTCACCATTCGATTTATGCTTTGTCAGTTCTGACAATAGGGGGTTTCAAAGTTAACAAATAAGTGACGCATTTCGAAAATAAATAGGATTTTTTCAATAGTATTTTTACTATGTTGAATTATAAATCGGAAAAATAAAATGAGAATCTCTGATTTTAACTTTGAAACCCCCTAATGGTTGGTTTTTTATTAATTGAAAAACAATGTTCTCATCAAATGCTTGGCAAAAATTTCGCTTGGCAAAATATTATGTTTATATTAAGAACAATCCTCAAACTTTATGTACTGTACTTCAAATTTTGTATCCATTTTATACATTTTATACTGGTTTCATTTTTCATTGTTTTTATTGTTATTGAAATTTTTTTAATTATTTTTATCAAAATACTAAGCCTTTCAACTCCTTTATCAGTTAACTCATTTATAGAGCAATGAAATATAATTAGAGCAAAGAACCAGTTAAGAACCAGTAAAACCTTTTAGGAAAATACATGAGATCTACTTTGCATTAATCATGTTGACGTTGATCATTGTTGGTTATTTATATCGCATTTATATCACGTTTATAGTGCAACTCTATTAACTCTATTAAAGAAATTTTCATTTTTAAATGACTACAATTATTTGTATCAGTTTTGTTCTTGTTTGGTTAACAAATCTCTGTATGTCTTTGTTGTACTGTAGCAGAATAAGTTTTACGTATTAAAAAATATATCTACTTTAGTATATAATACGTATACGTAGTAACTACAATGCTTCCTTTTTTAGTGATCCCGGCAAGGCTAAACCGACATATAGTGATCCAAAGTGTCGTTCTTGATACATAATTGTTGCGATCAATGAACAATAGATAATAAATAAGAAAATTTAGATAGATAGATCAAAAATGACTTTTGGATGACCGGGAATTTACTATATTAGCTCTGGCTCCCGGGTATTTTACACTGTACGTATTTTTTTTTTTTTTTAGCTCGGATAATTTGTACGACACTATTTAATGTTCAACCAAAAATTTGCTGGTATGGTCGAAGGGTCTCTGGTTAGACTGGTCTGGTCCAGAGTGTCCAAGGTAGTGTTTCGGGCTAAATTAATTTTTAAAATCCGAAATATTTCGCCAGAGCGAAATAATTTCGGTTCAAACTGCAAAATATATAGTAATTTGCACTTTTTGAAGTCCGAAAACATTTCGCCAGCGTAAAATAATTTCGTCTGGGCGAAATATTTCGGATTCATCCGAAACACTAGTCCAAGGTATAAATATTCAATAAGTTAAAAAAAATTTTTTTTTTAAGTTATAGAATTAAAGATCTTCAGTGTTATTGCGCTTTCTTTTCTTGTACATACGTTCTTGTGTTTATTGTCTTTCGCACATTACCGAATGGGACGGTTTGGGATTTTTACTTAATTTGGATTCGAGTCGACATTCCCCGAGCCCAATTTGAAACTCAAACTTGTGCCCATTTGTTTTTGCTCATCTCGAACCTTAAAGATCAATCACTCTACGAACATTGCTTAGGTGATAGTGCAATCTCTTAATTTGTTTCAATACTCGATTTACTTATTATGGTTCGCGTTCTAGCAAGTGATGCTTAAGTTTTGGTTTACAACGTAATTACGACACAATTGTTGAATCTATTGTTATCTGTAATCGATGTCATTTTGTTTATCGTTAATTGAAAGCTCACAATGGTTTACACATAGCAAAAACGTCGAAAAGGAGGACCTTTAGATAAACTTTGGGTACCCATTGAAATTAAATCCAAAGAGAATGTATGAAAATTTTGTTGCCGTTTTTAGGAGATGGCTAAAGCCAGGTACATCACGATTTTTCCATAATCGATTGATATTAGGGTTAGGGTCAGGTTAAGGGTAGAGAGAAAGGTTTATATATAATAAAATCGCATTTCCGACACTTTTACTTTGTTGTTTCGCTTTGTTTTGTTCGGGTTGTATATCGGGTAATCTCGTGATGTACCTCTATCCCAATAAAGCTTACATTGCAAATGGACTACTACGAGCCACGCAGGAGAATCAGAATTATGCGAGTATGTTAAATCGCGGTCATAGGACGACATTCGTATGATTGGTAGATCTACCCGTGATTTCCCGTGATAATTAACCAATCAAATCAATCAA